AGGATGAAAATGATGAAAAGGACGAGCAAGAAGGACGAAAAAGACGAGAGAGAAGGACGAGAGAGAAGGACGAGAGAGAAGGACGAGAGAGAAGGACGAGAGAGAAGGACGAGAGAGAAGGACGAGAAGGACGAGAAGGACGAGATGGACTAAAAGGACGAAAAGGACGTAAAGGACGACAAGAACGACAAGAACGACAAGGACGAAAAGCACGAAAAGGACAAAAAGGACGGAAAAGACGACAAGGACGACAAGGACGACAAGGACGACAAGGAAGACAAGGACGACAAGGACGACAAGGACGACAAGGATGACAAGGACTGAAGGAATAAAAAGAATAAAAATAATAAAAGGATTAAAAGGAAGAAAAGGTTGAAAAGGATGAAAGGGATGAAAGGGATGAAAAGGATGAAAAGGATGAAAAGGATGAAAAGGACTAAGAGATTAAAAGGATGAAAAGGATGAAAAGGTTGAAAGGGATGATAAGGATTAAAAGGGTTAAAATAATTATCCTCTAAGGAAAGAGAGGGTGAGTCTCTTGCCAAAGTTAGTCTTACCTTAGCGAGTACTAGCCCCGCCCACCCACCTTTTGTTTTCTTAGAAGACATGTCATTTGCCAAAATCAGTTTAATTTTGCTACGCACTAGAACCGCCCACCCGCCCTCTATTTTTTTGGAGGATATACCATTTGCCAAACCTGCTAAGATAAAATTGATTTTGGAAAATGGGATACTCCCCAAGAAAAGAGAGAGTGGGTGGGTGGGGCCCTAGTACCTGCTAAGATAAGGGTGACTTTGGAAAATGAGCTACTCTCTAAGAAAAGAGAGGGAGGGTGGGCGGGGCTAGTACCTACTAAGGTAAGACTAACTTTGGCGGACGTCATATCCTCTGACAAAATAGAGGGTGGGTGGGCGGGGCTAGAATTTGCTAAGATAAGACTGATTTTGGCAATTGACATATCCTCCGAGAAAACACGAGCGGGCGGGCGGGGCTAGTACTTGCTAAGATAAGACTGATTTTGGCGAACGTCATATGCTCTAAGAAAATAGAGGGCAGGGCTAGTACTTACTAAGATAAGACTGATTTTGGCAAATTCAGTAAGCCTGTTTAGTTTTTATTATAACAATTCTGGAGATCTCCTTGTCAAGATAAATTTAAATGAAAAAATCAACCTCTAAAATGCGGGCGCAGTGAGGACGTTCAGGTTGCTGGGATCTCTTGGACTTTGGTATTGACAAATGTTTTCGATATGCGCCGTTTTTTGAACACTAAAAAATTCTGTCATGGATAATAAATTAATAATTTAGGTTCCCAGGGACAACAATTTTCCTCACTCGTGAAGATTTTTATACCTATTTTGGGATAATTTGACGGAGCCGTATTTTCTGGTGAAGAATTTGTCCCGGGTGTTTTTTTCGCAAATCCAAGGTCCGTCGTTACAGGTTAGCGGGTAGCACCTCTTTTTTTTTCATTAGATGAAAGTAATTTCATAAAATTAATCGCTTTTTATTTTTTTATTGATCAAATTCAGAACGAGTTATCTCATTTTGTTGAAAATATGCGAATACAATAATGTTGCGCCTATCTATATTTAATACTGATGAAATAAGAATTATAATACTATTAATATTCAAAACACTTTGCTCCATTATGGCTTAATTAATAATTTTACCCCCTGTTTAGAGGTGACAACTCATTCAAATTAAATAAACAGCTACCTGCATTTTGTATGTATGAACATAAACAATCGAAGTTAAGCAAGTACACTGACAATAATACACTTTTTCTCGTTGGTTATTTACTCTAAATATATTTTCTATTGTTCGCACGTCTGCGGACCGCGTCCTAGACCACTGATTCTTATTTAATAGAGGTTATCACAAAACAAAAATCGCAAAATTAAATTTTGTGTTTTTTAATAAAAATGGGATTTGTTGGACTGTACTTTAAGGGCGAAGAAAATTCTGTCGAAGTAATCTTAGTCTTTGTTTATTTTATTGATTACTTCCCTCATTATTAATTATAAAACTTAAAAATAGTTTTTTGTTTTCATATAGTCCTTTTCTATTATGTATTTGATTTAATGCAAATATGGGATCTTATGTGCTATGACTTTTTCGGAATCCGCATTGTTCGTCTTATGGTTTTTCCTCTATTTCGGGTATGAGTTTTTCTTAGTTATCATTTTTCTGCTGTACATAATTTGGTTATGCCTCTGTAATTTCCTTAGTGTCTTTGATTTAATTTTTTCTATATCGTGGTGTTAAAGCATTCATCTATTCATCTAGGATTTTTTTCCGTCCACACCATATTTAATATTATATTAGTTTTTTTTTACTACTTCTCAGATGTAATTTATGATTTATGATAGTTTGATTTTTCTGAGTGGATCGTTTAATTCTTCTTGTGTTATTTCTGAATTTTATTCTTCTTTTATATTCCCATTCATTCTCAGTTTTTACGTATTTCGGTCTGATTGGAATGGAGTTTTGATTAACACTTCTTCAAAGTACTTCTTCCGCCTTTTTATTAATGTATCTTCTTCTATCTGTTCTTAGTTTCACATTTTAATTCTTTTAGCCTATTCATTGTTGTTTTCTTCTTGTCTTTTAATCTTTTAAGTGTTCTGTAAAACAGTTTCGTATTTTCTCTCTTATTTTGTTTTAAAATCTCTCAAAATTTTTCCCAACTTTATTTTTTTATTCTATTCATCATTGTTTCTGCTTTGCTTTTTTAATCTTTTGGGTGTTCTGTAAAACAGGTTCGTATTTTCTCTGCTATTTTCTTGTTTTTCCCAACTTCTTTTGCCCCTCTGACGTGTGACGTTTTCTTTTACTACAATTCTCTGTTTCTTATACTAGATATTGTATCCATGCTAATTTTCTTTATTATAATGTTTATTTGTTCGATCCACCATTTTGTCTGCTTTTTCTTTTCTTAGAGGATATCATTTGCCAAAATCGGTCTTATCTTAGCAGGTACTAGCCCCGCCCACCCACCCTCTCTTATCTTACAAGGTATGTTAATTGCCAAAATCAGCGTTATCTTAGCAGATAACAGCCCCGCCCACCCACCCTCTCTTTTTTTCGTAATATACGTCATAAAGAATTTTTGTATTATTTTTTTGGGACTGCCATTTTGCAGACCCGGTATATCCATCCCTTTATTGTCCCAACTCGTTATTCAATATTTCTGGTTTATTATCTTCTCTTGCATTCATATTACTTCTTACAGTTATCATTCCTTTAGACGACTCTATTGTTTCTTATGTTTTTTTACCAAAATTATTTTTTCACTCATTCTAGCATCTTCGTAAGGATCCTACTTCCTTTCGTTTTCGTTTTTGTTTCTATAAGGGCTAATATTTCACTTTCTTTGTTCCCTAGATCATTGATGATTTCTGTCTATTTTCCGTGTATTCCTCCGATGTTCTACATTCCTCTAGTATATGTGTTTGTTTTGTTATTTTTCCTTTGTTTTTTTCTTGCCCATTTTCTTACGCAAGGTAGTTATTAGGGTTTTTTTGCTTTTGTTATTCTTAGTTTTTTGACGGGAATTGGTATTTTTAAGGGTTCTACTTTCTTAGTCATCCACCACAGATCTGATGACTCATTAAAGTAAATTGCGAATTGTGGAAGTATAGTACAAATCAAGAGGATCAGTAGCTAAATTAAGATCACGCTTAAAGAACGTTTTCTCTTTGTGTTTCCTCAGAATAAATTTTTCATATATTATTTAATCTATTGGTACACAAAAAAGTCACTAAAATAAAGTGACAAATCACCCATCGTGACGTAAATTCACATCATTTTATTTACATTTATTAACAGTACAGTCATTACTATTTTCGTTTGTTTATAATGTAGCATGCAATGTAAATACTGAAAATAAGTGAAACTGAATAAGTTGAAAAATAAGTAATTTTCGTTTCGTAATTTTTTTTTTTTAGCGTAAAATTGTAGACACAATAATTGTGTCGAAAACTATTTACTACTCATACTCAACTCTTAAAAAAATCACTTACTGTTTAGTCTAAATAATGAAATAATTCAAGCGCAATTTTGGTGGATGCGCCGGGAAATTTTCAGAATTTAATTTTTGTTTTATTTTTCTTTTCGTAATTAGTTTTTTTTTGTTTTTTGAGGATGTTATCCGAAACCGCATAAACAACCGAACAATGTCGGTACCATTGCGGTTTTCCGTATAAGGGCGTTTGGGGTCAGGAACAAGGCAATAAAAGTGTAATTAAGTCTGAGGGCAATAAGCGGGTTTGCGTTATCGGGGGTGTCGGTCGGGGGCGGCCAACAAATCTTGGCTGTGTAGTTGTCGGGCGCATCCTGTGTTTGGACAAGGGCCTTGTTTGTCGATGTTATATTTGAACAGCTCACGGAACAGCAGACATTTACATGTCTACTGTATATATAACGAATAAATTAATTCCACTTAATCTATACGGTCATAAGTCTTTTTACAGGACGCCGCCGGAATAAAATAACTATTAATTTATGCAATTCACATTTTATGTGTTGCATAATTACACGAACGATAGAGTGGGGCTGTAACAGCCGCTAAATGGGAACATAAAAATGATGAAATGGTGCTTTATTCATTACGGTTTTTTGTATTTGCAAGGGTGTTTGGTTACCGGAATTCACGTGGATTAGATTGTTTTTGTATTCATTGGGGGCTTTATTTGTTGTTTTTATTGCGATTTTTTTCAGCCATAATTAAACCATCGGTGATCATTTTTATTTACAATACTAATAAATCATACTTGTTGGCAAGCTAAACTTTAAATAAACATTTTTTTTTCTTGACGGATTTGTAAAGACGGAATTTGTTGATGTGGAAGATGCTTTTTGCTTGAACAAGTAACGTACTTCTCGTCCCTTGAAGTTTCCGAGGAGTAGCATTTAATCATATACTAAGTAGATTTAGTTTCACTCCAGAAGCTGTTGTTTGCAACCCTTCCCTGCTTTAATCGAACTTTATCTTTTCAGGTGAGTCCGGATTAGTGCACTTCTAATTTTCCACGCCACTGACCCACACCTTCCTAAGGTAATACTTTATTATTAGATAGTGTAGGAAGTCTAGCTGCGGAAAAATTTACGACGTTTTTAATGCGTAAGAATGTTTAATCTTGGAAGAATTGCAAAAAAGCTAATAAAGCAGCCAATAAATCATAAAAAAAAACCTAAAGGAATACAAGAATAAGTAGGATAAATTCTAATTTCCGTATCCGAATGAATTACGACGCGGAATATTTTCTTTAAGGCAGTTAAGTTTGTACGTTTCCGCAAATTGCCTCGGGGAATTATCGACATGATTATCCGTTCTTTCTCTCATTCATTATAATAATTTATTAAAATGCGAATTTTTGCCGCAGAAATTCAAATACAAACGTTATCTCAAAGAGAAAAGGCGCTTTTTTATTTATTGCCGAGTTGGATTCTTGTCCGCCGGTCGGAGACAGAGAGGAAAAATCGAGAGAAATTTGGTCATTTTAAGTCGGCTGATGTTTAACGTTTTATTATTTTAGAAGCTCTGTGCGCGTTCCGTCTGCTTCAGATTTTTCGGATGGATAAAACGGATTTTTACTCCCACGTGCATAAGCTAAGGAAGTATTGTAATCAAGTCCATCGGCAGAATCCCTACTCTTGTGTTTTCTCGACCTTTCATGACCCCTAGAGTAAAAATAAATAGGGCTCCCGTTTCGCACTGATAGTACACAGATAATCTTCGAATGGACCGATTGTTGTCAAATTTTGTATCTACATTAATCAACCCAGTCAATAATTTGATGACGTCATTTCCAAAATTAACAATAGTAAATTTGTTTTTGTTTTCATGTATTTCTGGTGTATGAATCCGTGTTAAGTTTTCACCCTACACATTCAGGTTTTTTGAAAAAAAAATCTAAATTTTGCAATTTAACTTCACAAGCGTAAATCATTAATCAAAATTTAATCGTTTATACCCTCTCAAACAATTGATGACATCATCTCTAAAACACGCAAAATGCACTCATAGTTCTTTTTTTGGACCAATTTTTCTATTTTACTATTTTTTAGTATCTCAATTTTTCGTTTTTTCGTTTTTTTTAATTTTTTAATTTAAAATTTTCAGTGTTTTGGTTTCATAATTTTTTATCTTTGCAACTTTAATTTTTTCATTTTTTCAACTTCTGGGCTTCCAAATTTATCAAAATCTCGATTTGCAATTTTTCAATTTTGCAACTTTTCGATATAACAATTTTTCATTTTTCGATTTTACAGTTTCTTAATTTTTAATTTTTCAATTTCCTCATTTTTTTAAGTTGATGGTTTTTATTTTTAATTTCCCGATTTTTTAATTTTCATTTTCTCGATTTAATTCCATAAATTTTAGTTTTTTCATTTGCTTTATTTTTTCAAAATTTCTTTCGATTTGTTCAAATTTTCAATCTATGATTTTTCAATTCCATAATTTTCCAATTTTAAAATTTTTCAACGTTGCAATTTTTGGATTTCTCAGTTATCCGATTTTTTCTTTTTTTTTAATTTTCAATACTTCGATTTTAAAGTATATATTTCGTTGTTTTTTTTAATCCCTCAATTTTTAGTCCTTCGATTTTTTAATTTTTCGTGTTTTCAATTTTTAAAGTTCTTTATTTCCATTGTTTAGATTTTCGAAACATTCATTTCGTTTTTTCATTTATGATATTTCTATTTTACAATTTTGCAGTTTTGCTATTTTTTATTCGAAAAGTTAAAAAATCTGAAAACTTATTTTTCGAAAAATCTGGATTTGTTTACTTTCAACCAACTTTTTGATATCTTAATTTTTCTTCTATTTTACAATTTTTTGATATCACTGTTTTCCGTTTTCTCAATTTCAATTTTTTCGACTATATTTTACGAATTCCAAATTTTTCAAATTTTCGATGTAATTTCTCATTATCATTGTTTCAATTTTCCCGAGTTTTTAAATTTTTTTTACGATTTTTTAAATTATCAGTCTGATTTTTCTATTACTCGATTTTCCAATGTTTCAATTTTGTAATTTTTGAATTCTTCAATTATCCGATTTTCCAATTTCTTTAATTTTCAATATTTCGATTTTACAAAATTTCGTTTTTTCGATTTTGCACTATTTCGATTTGTAATTTCTCATTAACATATTTTGAATTTTCTCGATTTTTTCAATTTCTTTTTTTCTATTTTACATTTTTTCTTTTTTCATTTCCTTTATCTTTTCAATGTTTCTTTTGGTTTATAGTTGTCCAAATTATCAGCCTTTAATTTTTCAATTACTCGATTTTCCAATTTTTCAATTTTGCAATTTTACTTTTTCTCAGTTTTTAATCTCTCGATTTTCTAATTTTTCATTTCTTCAGTTTGTCAATTTTCATTGTATATCTACTTTTTCGTTTTTCTCATTTTTAGATTTTTGAATTTTACAGTTTTGCAATTTTTTGGGTTCGTTGAAAATTTGAAAAATTGAAAAATCGAAAAAAATCGACACATAAAAAATTGGAAAAAATTGAAAAATCGAAAAACTGAAAAAACGAAAATAGTGAAATCAAAAAAATGGATAAAAAAATAGCAAATCGAAGAACTGATAACAAACAAACGAAAAACAGAAACAGAAAAATTAAAAATCGAGAAACTTGAAAATCGAAAAAATTAGAAAAAAGAAAAACGAATTGAAATCTAGAAAATCCATAAATTGTCAAATTATAGAATCGTCAAAACTGTAAAATCTTTAAATTGTAACACTGAAAGATAAAACAATTTTAATATTCAGTCTCGTGAAATTGAAAAATAAAAAATCGAAAAGTTGGAAAATCGAATAAATGAAAAAGTTTTAAAATCTAATAATTAAAAAATGGAAAAATTCAAAAATCGTAAAACTAAAAAATTTTAAAAAACAATTATTATCAGAAACATATTTAAAATTAAAACTAGAAAAATAACAAATCAAAAATTGAAGGAACGAAAAATTGGAAAAATAAAGAACATCAAAAACTTAAACGTAAAATTGCAATTTGCAAAACTGAAGAAATGTAAAATTGAAATATCTAAAAAATCTAAAATTAAAAATTGAAATCTCGTGAAATTGCAAATAGAAACATTGCAAAATATAAAATATAAAATAACTGAAACATCTAATGGTTGGAAAATCGGAAAATTGAAAAATTATAAAATGAAAACCAGAAGAAACTGGTGAACTTGGTGAAACTTGGTGAAACTGAAGAGACAAAAAAAGCAAAAATCGAAAAAATCGGCATCAAAGAATTGAAGAGACGAAAAACTGAGAAAACTGAAATCGAAAAATAAAAAATTATAAAATCAGAATACTAAAATTTCTAAAAATTGTAAAAATCAAGACAATAAAAACCGAAGCCAAAAATCGTAAATTGACATTTTGATTAAGTGAAAAATTAAAGAATCGAAAAATTGAAACATTAAAGAAAATCAAAATCTGAAACAAAAAACTGCAAATCGCAAATTTGACACATACAAAATATCCACATTTAAAAAATCGAAAATTTGAAAATTGAAATCTAGTGAAATTGCAAGTAGAAGAATTGCAAAATGTAAAAATTGAAACATTTAATAGTTAAAAAATAGGAAAATTGAAAAATTTTAAAATGAAAACTCGAAGAAGTACATTTGGTAGAACTGAAGAGACAAAAAAATAAAAAATTGAAAAATTGCATATCAGACAATTTAAGAAACGAAAAACTGAAAAAACTCAAATTGAAAAATTAAAAAATTATAAAATCGGAATACTAAAATATCCAAAAATTGTAAAAACAAAGAAAATAAAAAACCGAAACCAAAAATTCCAAATTAACAATTTGATTAAGTGAAAAATTAAAAAATCGCAAATCAAAAAATTAAAGTAACGAAAAATTGAAAATCTAAAAATTATAAAAATTATAGAAATGAAGACATTGAAAATGGAATAATTGATAACATATAGCAAATAAAATACCGAAATGTAAATCGAAAAGCTGAAAAATTAAAAATTGAAATCTTTAGAGATTCACATCAAAAAATGAAAACTGGAAAAATTGCAAATCGAAAAACTGAAGAAACAAAAAAAAAGGAAAATTTGAAGACTTGAAAAATTAAAGTCAAACAAGCTATGGGACTGTTATTTACGCCACTGGTTCTTACTTTGTAGAGGCAATAGAAAACAAAAATCGCAAGAAATTTAGTGTGAACTTTCGCGACGAGGGAAGTTCTGTCGAAATAACCTTTAACCAATGTTTAGAAATATTGCGATTCAATTTTCCTGCTACATTTAAGCCTGAAACTTGCACGACCCAGACTGTCGTCTCCCGTACTATTTCCGCGTCGTAAATCCCGGAGTTTTTCGGAAATTAGCGTTAAAAATTAACAGCCGGAGCAAGGTTATCAAAACATTTAAGATTCCTTCATGGCTGGCGTGCTTTAACCGACATTCAATAAAGCGGTAAAGGTTTGCGACGTCTGTAACATAAAGGGAACATCTTCAAATACAAAACATATTCCATAGACCATTTAACTTTACGCTTATCTGCAGAGAATGATGCGAGAGGTCGACGATCTTTGCATGAAGTTTCTTCCACTCCGATACTTTTATGCTTTTACAACATTCGCTCTTTTTCGTATTATGGAAAATGGCTACGGACTTCTTTCCGAACTTATCTCCCGATATAATCCCTTTCTTTCACGCCACAATTATTCGGGATTCGCAACACTTTCGCGCAGTTTCGTTTAATTTTTTTTCGACGGGAAGTGGCAGTGGATGAAATACGGGATAATATTCCAGCGATAAAAAGAATAGCACGGAGTGGACTCGCCACTTTAATGCTTTTTATCGGACTTCTATTGTGTTCTCACCCTTACACTTTTACACTGTGTAATAGTTTATTATCCGATTCTGACTCGGAAAGCAGTTGTCGAGTCGTTCTTCGTCGTTCTTTCGAGTTTTTGCGAGAAGTTGCGATTAGCGCGGTTCAAGTGTAATTAGCAGGGTTGAATGGCGGTGTCAACGAGGGCTTAATATCGAGCTGCGGCGAGGCGGTA